TCTACCTGACGATGCCCATTGCAGTTAAAGTAGACGGCATCCCATATGGATTCGTTACTCCCACATGAAGGCAGCACGACAGTGGACAGCTCAGGAAGACGGGCCCTTAAGACTAAGACTCAAGCATACATAAGTCTAACTCTCTGTTTCTTCCTTTTTTTCCTCTTTAGCCCAGGCATTCGACCAGCCACAACCAAAAACAGAAGGAACATTAATAACTCTGCTAACAACAATACACAAAGTCTTAAATAAGACCACCCTAGACATAGGACAAGATTGCTGGTTGTGCCTAAACCCAAAAACCCCTTACTATGTCGGGGTAGGAACTACCCTAAATTTAACTGAGCTCGGCAGGCTAGAACTTCAAGTTGATTCACTAGCAGAAATAGTCCTCCAAAATAGAAGAGGTTTAGATTTATTATTCTTAGAACAAGATAGATTATGTATGGCTCTAGGTGAAACCTGTTGCTTCTATGCCAATAACTCTGGAATAATTAGAGAAAGCTTACTACTAGTACAGAGAAATTTAGATGCCAGGGAAAAACAAAGACTAGAATCAAATAACTGGTTTCATAGGATGTTCAATTGGTCACCATGGCTAACAACCCTTCTATCTGCTGTAGCTGGACCTTTAATCCGCCTCCTCCTCTCGTTAACTTTTGGCCCATGTTCCCTTAATTTCTTGTTTGCATATATAAGGAAGAGAATTAATTCTGTTAAACTTTTGGTATTACAAAATAGAGGCTATGAGCAAATTCCGCATGAAGAATCAAGGATTTGATTTTTTGCTAAGGCCAGTGGGGAATGTGCTGGCTGGAAAATTACTGCTTGGCTATCGCCCATGGGAACATAGGTTATCACCCATGGGATAGGGACCTGTACAACTGGAACATAACATCCTAACAATAAGCTTTCTGCTTCTGTACCCCCACTTGCACAACCTATCTGTGGGTTGACAGTTAGTAAATAGAAGAAACATAGACTTGTGTTCAGACAGAATGAGGAATGGGGTTTAGGGCTTAAAAACCCTACATTTCGGGGCTCCTTAATTTGGGGTCTGCATACCCCTGGCAGACCCAGCTGGCTGAATAAAGAGTGTGTTTCCTATTACTCACTGATTTCTGGTGGTCCGTGTGTCTATCGGGGGCTGGCGGCTACAACGATATATCCTTTCAGAGATAATCTATGTGCATACAAGCTAATATGGATACTAAACAGATTTTCTTAAAATGTGTTATATTCTTAGGCATGACCAGGCCACTATCATAGTCAATTATAAATGATAGTTTTATATGTGAACAGTTTAAAACTTCTTTTATCATATATCTGCTTCATCAGTTTGTATAACCAATTATATATCATATATCACACAGGATCATAACTTTTTTATATAGGGTCCTTCTGTTACTTGTTCATAACACCTGACTCATTTTTACTGCTGCAATAAATTGAGAAAAAAAAATCATCATCATCACAGATTCATTTTTGCTTTATTGGGGCAATTTTGTTTGGCATCATCCTGCAATCATTTAAAGTGACTAAGTGTCAGCATAATGGTTTCACATTTCAGGTAGATTGTTTAGATGCCCTCTTTCTCTTTGTTGATCTTTCTTTTTTTTTTCCCCTGGGAGCATTTAAAAATTTGAGATATACTTCATATGACCAAAATCACTATTTCAATAAAGTTTACAATTCAGTAGGTTTTGGTATATTTACTATGTTGTGCAACAACCATTATCACTATTTAATTTCAGAACATTCCCATCACTCCAAAAAGAAGCCCTGAGCCTATTAGCTTTAGTCCCAATTTCCCACTCTCTTCATCCCCTGGTAATCACAAATCTACTTTTTGTCTCTATGGAGTTGCCTAATCCTAACATGTCACATAAATATAATCACACAATATGTGGCCATTTGTGTATGGCTTCTTTCACTTAGCATAATGTTTTCAAGTTTCATCCACTTGTAGCATGTATCAGTACTTCATTTTTTATAGCTAAATAATGTTCTATTTGTAGGGATACACCATATTTTGTTTACCCGCTCAACAGCTGATGGGCATTTGGGTTGTTTCCACCTTTTAGCTATTATGAACAAGGCTGCTATGAAGATTTGTGTACAAGTTTTTACATGAACATATGTTTTCAGTTCTCTTGGGTATACATCTAGGAGTGGAATTTCTGGGTTATGTGGTACTTCTGTGTTTAACCTTTGCAAGAAATGCCAAACTATTTTCCACATCAGCTGCACCATTTTGCATTCCCACCAGCAGTGTATGAGAGTTCCAATTTTCAATTTCTCCACATACTTGTCAACCTTTGGTATTGTTTGGTTTTTAAAATTTATTATTATAGCCATCCTAGTAGGTATGAAGTGTTATCTCAGTGTGATTTTCATTTGCATTTCCCTAATGACTCAAGATGTTCAACATCTTTTCATGTACTTATTAGTCATTTGTATATCCGCTTTGGAGAAGTCTATTCAAGTCCTTCGCCCATTTTCAAATTGAGTTTGAGTTTTTTTGTTGTTGGTATGGGTTGTTTTTTTTTTTTTTTTAAATATATTTTGGATACTAGACTCATATCAGATAAATGACTTGCAAATATTTTCTCCTAATCTATGGGTTGTTTATTTTTCACTCTGTTGATAGTGTCCTTTGATGCACAAAATTTTAAATTAGATGATGTCTAATTTATCTATTTCATCTTTGATTGCTGTTATCATTCTTTTACTTCTCAGTGTTGAGATCTAGATAGTCAGAACTGGTTATATATTATAAGTAAATTTTGGTGTGGCCTGCTACGAATGCCCTACATGATAAAATGTATCTAAGTAGAAAAGCACTGTAAGTGTGAATCTCTTTCAGTTCGATCATTGAAAACCTTCATATGCCACCTTTGGAGGTGGCTATTCCACCAACACTTTACTCCGAAATTGACAATTAAAGGGAAAGAATTGAGCATTTATCCTTTTTAGTAGGAACCATATTTTGGAGTAGTCAAATAATCTATAGTTAATGAAGAAAGCTCTTTTAAAAATCTATTATTTTAATAGATTTCCAGCTGGTGAATGTAGAGATGACAGAGTTGGAGAGTCACCATTTTGAATAGACTAGTTGATTCACGTAAGGATTTTCAGTGGAAATTGAATCCAGTGGATGAAGAATTAATGGAAAATCATATATTCGGATGGCGTAGAGGTATCGATCCCTGATTGCTTGCTAGTCAAAAGGGCAGAATATGACTTCGCAAGGGAGGACTCTATATATCACAACCTCAACCCAGTGATTTGTTTTGGCATCATTGCTGGTGAGATGGCATGACATTGTGACTTCTGATATGTAATACACAGCATTACCCATGATATATTCTCAACAAAAATGTTTAACTTGAATTTAATCATCTTTAAAATACAGGAAATATAGAGAATACAGGAGCAAGTGAAATGACATTATGAGGAAATAATCATATATATCTAGAACGAGGCTATTATCTATAAAGAGGCATACTATAGGTCTGCTGGCCAGGTCTTTCTAATGAGTGAATGTCAAAAATAAAGAAAGAAGGAAAGAAAGGAAGGACAGAAGGTAGGAAGGAAAGGAGAAAAGGAAAGAAAGAAGGAAAGAAGGAAGGAAAAAGGAAGGAAGGAAGGAAGGAAGAGGCAGGGGGAGGGGATAGAGTGGAACAGAAAGGGAAAACTGGGAATATTCAGGATTAAGAGATTTAAGAAACAAAACAAGAAAAAACAATCATGGTGCTTAATTAAGTGCAGATTTTAACAAAAAAATTTTAAATAGTTTAGGACAATTGTGAAATTTTGAATATGAACTCAGTATCAATTAGTATTAGGAAATTATTGTTAATCTGTTGGGGAAATTAGATTATTTGTCCTGTGGAAGTTGATTAGTTCTTGGTGTTTGTTTTTAAACTTAGTTTTCTTTTCCTTGTATTTCCTGTAAACTGTAATTAGATCTAAAGCTTGATTAGGTTTGAGTTCAATTTGGAGAATCATGAATACTTTATAGAAAGTGCTGTGTAGTTACCACTGTATCACATCAAGAAATGTATCGTGTCTGGTTGTCTCACTTATAGTGGTGCAAAGAGTGATTGGCAGGTTCAGATGGTATCAGAATTCCCTGATTATAAAGTTCAACACCTTTTCTAAAGGTAAATTTCAAATGTTTAGCCCTATCAATAGCAGACATAGTAAAATCTTGAAATCTTGCCCAAGGAGTAGCAATCTTCATATTCATGTTCAATTAACTTCCCTAACAGAACTGTGGTTGAAAGTCCATGTCGACCTTTTATCAAAAAGTATGAGAAAAAAACTTTATAAAGATACTAACCTTAAAATTTTATAGATACTAACTTTAAAATTTGCAAAATACAAATAAAGCTCAAATCACCTCAGAAATTATTACCATGATTGAGAATCAAGTAGATAAATTTGGGCGGTCTTGGCTATGAAGCTATAAGGAAATATCTAAATCAGAAATAGTAGGGAGCTAAGTATTATGAAAAAATAAAATAGACACAGTTGTCTCTAGGAGAAGAGACTAGAGGCAGAGAGTAGTGAGGCAAGGCACTGTGACTTTCCATTATAACCCCATCTGTGCATGTATTACTTCGATAGTACTACAAAACACAAATGTTGAAGAAAAGTAAACGTGCTAAAAACACCCCCAAATAAAAGCCTATTGATTAAATATATACGCCTCCTGTTTTTTTCTGTGCCATCAGAATCCGCTTGGAAAATACATAAAAGGATAAAGGGGCCAAGGTCAATAAAAGCTCATCTGGTGACCGAAAATCGTAAAAAGGACTAACGCATTCGAAAAGTGTCTGAAGTTTGGAGGTAAAAGGTGAGGATTAGGCTTCGCGCACCGAGGTTAGGGATCTACGCCAACCTGCGGACTAAGCCGGGAAGACAACAAAGCCTCGCGGGAGGCGGGGCCCGTGACGTCACAAGACACCGCCCCCTTACGCTACGCACTAGCTCGGCCAGAAGGTTTCTGGCGGCCCCGGCGCCATCTTGCAGGATCCTGTGACCGAGTGGGAGTGGAGTGGAGCGGCCGTTGTTGCCGACTCTTTCCTTCTCCCCACGGTCCAGTGAGCGGGTTGATTAGACAATTGGCCCTCAAGCCGAGACTTGTCTCTTATTTAATTCTGGGGAGCGCCTGGCCGACATGAGTGATGTAGAGGAGAACAACTTCGAGGGCAGAGTGAGTACAAAGCCGCGGGAGCCGTCTTCGGCGGCGGCCCGATGCTCGGGGTTTCACGGGGACGGGCGCGGTCGGGCAGGGCTGCGGGGAGTCTTGCGGGGGCCCGCGAGGAGTAGCCTCTGGAGCCATCGCGGTTGCTTCCTATCATCCCAAGATGGCTTCTGGGTTCCACTCCTGCCCCAAACACTATGGATAACTCCCTCCCCCTTTTTTGGGGGGACCGACTGATACCTGGACTCCTGGGTTTGATTTCCCTCAGCAGCGCACCTTCCCTTCTCCCCAGCCCTGAGGCTCCTTATCTCTGTTCTGAGGTGTGGGTCCCGGTCGCGGTGGGGCGGGAGGAGACGACAGGGAGCTCCCCTCCGGCCGGATAGTGGTAGGTGTTTCCTGCGGTGACATTTCTTGCGACCCCGAGCATCGTAGAGGGTCTCGGGGTCGAAAGTGCGTGGGGCTGTCGTCCGGGCGGGGAGAACCTGGCGTGGGACTAGCTGGGGCCTGTGTCTCCTTGGCTCTCTATTGCAGTGAGCGGCCGCGTCTCTGTTGGAACCGGCGGCGTTGCGTCTATAAAGGCGAAAGCCTTGAGGTTGAAGGTGGGACGAGCCTAATGAAGTGGTTAGTCAACGACCGCACCGACCCTTAAGCGTTCTTAAGACGAGAGCTGTGAGGGGAAAACTACGCAAGGAGCCCTTTTCCCTTAATGTCCCTTCTACTTTCCTTTCATTTCAAAATGAATGTGGAAATGCCATAACGCCTTATTTTTCTAATTCCTTGATGTTGGGGTTTTTTTTTTCTTCTTTATATCTCAACTTCTGATGATTTTCTTCCTTTGACCTTTCATCTAAAAACTGACCGCTCCTTTACAGGTTTTTACGGTACAGAACAAAACAAGAATCGTAGTCTTTCATAAATGAACAAATTTCATGGCTTAGTATTTTAAAAACATCTAGTCAATTTGTAATAAATCTCGTAACTCAAAATGTTACCTGAAAATTACAGGCCCTCTCCTGTTTCTTTTATCAACCCATCCCCCAGCAAAGAGGGCTTAAAGATTTTCATTATTTTGGGTCGATGAATATAAACATCACAAAGACTGATACCTGGACTCCTGGGTTTGATTTCCCTCAGCAGTGCACCTTCCCTTCCTAAGGTTAAGTGTACTAGAACTTTTACAGTAGAACTCTATAACGTTTGAGTTACATTTCCGAAGTTAACTCATAGTGGAAGTTGGTGGGAGTGAATCAGTGTGAAACCCTGAAAAGAAAACAGAGTCCCCAGGCGGCATGTTCCGGCAATTGTGTTGGTATTCTAGTCACTAGAGGAAACGCATAAAAAACACTTAAGGTGTGTGCTGGATGGAATGCACTTTGGTGTGTTTTTTTAGACGCTCATAATGTAAACACCTGGAACCCGACAGTTAGAACGTCGATTTAGGCTTTTGTTCTTTTTGAGGAAAGACATTTAAATAGATTAGAAACAAAAAGACTACTTTTTATGCCTTTAAAATTGGTTTTTGAAAATAAAATCTGGAGCATAGATATAAATTGGTAGTCGGACCTCCTCATTTTTTAGGATGGGGTATTGATTGTCCGAACAAAACTTTTTAAATCATGGAATAAAAATATTTGCTGGTAGTTGTAAGCTGCTGTTTATTTTGAAAATTTTAGGTAGTTATGGGAAGGAATTTTGCTGTCCATCAATCTGTCTTAAAATTAACTTTGGTACAAAAAATTATTTTTTTAATGTTTGGTTTTATTTGGATTCTGGGGAAGTGAGGACTGCTATTTGAGACCCTGTTTCCCTTTTAAGTTCTTATTTTTTAATTAGTTATCAAGTCGAGGAATGGAGCAAGTTCTAGATAATTGTCAACTTATCCACCTTCCTTAGTGTTTGTGGTCATAGAAGATATTTTTCATACATAATACTAAAAGGTATTTCAGAGCGAGTGAAGTCAGTAAATTGAATAATGAATATCCCAAGCTGACTTATGTCTTTTTTTTTTTTTTTTTGGTAGGTTGAGGTAATTGTCTTTATTCGTATTTGGTTAAAGAGTTAGAAGAATGCCAGCTTTTCTGAGAGTGTACTTAAAAAAAAATGTTTCTTAAAGCAATTCACTAGTGCTTTTGGTTTTTAAAGTACAGTGATCTGTTTTCTGCTAACCACAAAGAGTAGTTTAAAGTTTTTATAGAATGCAATTATTGTGTTCTTTGTATCTAAATGTAATAACCATTTAAAGGCTCAGAAAAGGATTTTCAAATGATGTTTTTGAGGTGTTAAAGTGATTGTCATACTAAAGACTTTTAACTGAAATAAATTAGGGAAAACATTGGTAGGTCAGTATTCAGATTTCATTTGCTTTATGTAATCAGCGCATATCAACCCCTTTTACTGAAAAGATGTTTAGAATTAGAGGGTACCTAGAGACTGCAGAACATTTTGAAGAAACAGGGCTAATTCTAGTAGTTCCGACTTTCATATAACTTTAGAATCTACATCCCCTTCTACTCAGATCTTTGACATATTTTCCAATTTACTGCTCACAGTAATTCTTCAAGGGCTGGAGTACCATGCAGCCAAGAACCTGGAATGTACAAGTCCTAGTCATTTGCTCTTTGCATTGTTACCTATGCTGTATGTATTTTAATTTACTTTTTTAAAAAGAGTGCACTGTACTTCAGTGTCTCAACCATCAATAGATTTTGTTAAAAACAGTTACAGGAGCTAAATTTTACCTTTATGGATTACTGTCTCTCTCATTTTAAAGGACTGGAGTAAAAGAATTTTAGGAAAGAAAACGTAATTGAATTTAGTTAGGAGTAACCTTAAGAGTTAACCAACCAGAATTCCCTTCTGCCTGAGGCGAAACTGTTGAGCATCTGCTGCCTTTTCACCAAAAAGGCCAGGTGTTCTTCAGGGTAAGAGAACTGGAAGTCTTAAATTTGAGATGACTGACAGCTCAAATCTGGGTAAAAGTAAGTATATAATCAGGTACTATGATGGAATTAATAGGGAATTCAGAAAATGGAGTTGAGCAGTTTTGTGAGCTATGGGAAAGGGAAAGCTTTACCTAGTACGTAAAACTTACACTGGATTTTATGATTAGGGAAATGAATATATGGGTGTGACAATAAGTAAGTAGCTGAATAGTGAGAGATGATAGATTTGACTAAATATGCAGTCAGATGATGAAAGGTTTTGAGTTCTAGATTTAGGAATTTGGATTTAATCCAGGGTGCAGTAAAAGTCATCTCTGGGTTCTTAATTCTGGGAGTGGCATAATGAAAAGAATTTTAGCAAAGGACAGAGAGACTGGTACAGGAGGAGCAGCAGGGCTCAGCTGAAATATTTAAAGAAGGAAATTATGAAAAATCTGGTCTAACAGGACATGAATGGGATATAAAGAATGAGACATTTTTAAGGGATCCAGGGAATACTGGTGCCTTTTAAATAAGTAGGTTAATTAAAGTAATTTGCTTGAGACATGTATGTCAAGTTAACAAAAATGAAAATGTCTTTTGGAGCCGGGGGTTAAGTTAGCACTTGAACTATGACTTTGTATGCCATCTTCAAAAAGAATGAGTTGTTTGCTCAACACAGGTTCAACTAAAATTAGGATTTTTACTTAAAAAAATTTTAGTGTTCTTTAGAGAAGTTAAGAGGAATGGAAATTAAACTTTCCTTATTTATTTTACTCCCCTAATGTTTTTAACAAAACTTAGAAAAACATTGAGTCCAATTTTTTTTCTTATACAATGGTCTCGTGTTTTTAATAGGGGTTAATGATTTTTTCTTATGTAGGGGTCCGTCTCATAATTTCACAATTGTCTTTGCTTTGTAGTACAGTTGAAGAGGAAAAATACTAATTCTTGCCCCCTTTTCAGAGCTTGTTCCTACTTATTTTAGGAGACTCCTGGGGTTCCCCTTCTTGATATATAAGATTGGAAGATAAAAGTGAAGAGCAAAACACAATTTGGAATTAAATTTGTATGTGTTGATATTTTGCTGAACAGCAAAAATAGAGGAAGGTATATTCTCTGAAACCTGATTTGTGATAATAGGGGTGATGACAACGCCATTCAGAACCCAGCTTGGTGACTGGCTGGCTCCTTTAAAAGAAAATTCTTAAACTGGGTTTTAAATTTTTCTGTTGTTGAAGTTTTAAAATAAGTGTGAGTATTGGTGAGTTTTGCCCTCTCCCCTCCTAGGGAAAAAAAAATGCAAAAAAAAAAATCAACTTCTTCAGCAATTTAATTTCCCTCTCTCATCACATCAAGTTGTTATGAAAGGGTAAGGCTTCCTTATAGTAGGGGGTTGTAATAAACTTGAGACAGTCTTGCTTGTCATGGGTTTAATTTATTGTCCTAAAGTTAAGTACTCTCATTATCCAATTTTAATGCTTTTTTTTTTATTCTCCCATCATTTGAGCAAATATTTTGTAAGCTTAAGGAAACATTTTAATGCTCAAATTTTTATATTTGAGATTCTTTCACCGAAGGATGTTAATTTGCTCAATACAGGTAAAAGGTAGAATTTTTAAAAGGAACAATGCAGCTAATTACCCCCAGTGCATAACTGTAATTTTACAGATTAATCATAGATGATGCTTATGATTTTACCATCTCTAAAAGAATAAAATAGTCTTGGGATCTGAAAGAATATCAAGAGATTTAAATATTTAGGAATGAAAGCCACTTGAAAAGTACAAACAAACTTTATGGACTTAATTTTGTAAATGAACTGAGATTATTTACCTGTGGTATAGTATGTGTAGTATAAGATGTGTTAGTGTAAGTGTGAAATGGCCATGAGTAATCAGCATAATAGTTTCCTAGAACTTGTGTGAAAACCTCTTTGTAATATCAGTTGGTGCTTAGGCATCAAGCAACTAACCCTTGTAAAAGGTATATATTCACATGCTAAGTGAGTTAATACTGATATTTTTTTTCATATGTTAGAGGTTTATTAGCAGGACAGAATTGGAAGTGAGAAAAATGGTAATGATCAAAGGGGGGGGGAATCAGTAAACATCGTAAATGAAAGTTGAGGGCAATGATGAAAGGAAATGTAGTTTCCCCTACTTTAAGTTACTGCCATATATAGTTGTGTTTAGTCCTTATTGCCTCATGATTTTCACCAAAGGTGTGAGTGACTAGGCCTGACCAATCTGAGGCAGAGGAAAAGTTGATTTTTTCCTTTGAACTAAGTAAGGCTTAGTACTCAAGATTCATAAATGCTTTATGACATTAGAGAGTGAGAACATGAGAATTCTGTAACAGGCTCTTAGAAGTTTGCTTTTAGTTGCTATTATTGGCTTTTAATATGCTGAAACCATTTTAATCCTTATAAACTTGTTTTCTATACCTTTGAAATTGTCACTTGTACGCTAGCTTTTTGGACATAACAATTGATCATGACATAAGCTGGCCTGTTTATGAGCCACATTTAAAATTTGTACAGAAGATTCTAATTTTACAGGTAATTTCACAGTTGTGACATGAGTTTAAATTTGATTATAACTGTATAAGTGCCAGTTTTTTGTTAAGCGTTCCCAAAATTATTCCAAACTTGAGAAAATATAGACTCATACAGTGTTAGGATATCCGTGTGCCTTTGTAGGTACAAAGACCACTTTAACTTCACTCAGAATGCATCATACAGGTGTAACCTTAACAAAGGAAAATTATTTAGAAATAGCTAATGTTCAGAGTAGTTGGTATTCTCTTTTTAAGGAATTACTCTAATAGCAGTTATGAGTTGAGAGACTGGGAGTATTTCTTCTATAACCTAAGAGTCTGTAAAAGAAGCAGCCTGTCATATACTCGAGAAAGGATGCAGGAGTACAATAAATATTAAAAGTTATTTGAGTAATTTAAGTACTCTGCCCTTTGGACTTATAATTTACCTAAATGCAGTAGTGTATGTCTATGAAACTAGATCTCCAGTATCATAAACTAGCAGGAAAATATACTTGAGAAAGTTTATTTTAAAACCTTATACTCTATTCAAATAGACTTAAATTTGTGTAAACTTGGCACTATTACTTGGCATAAAATTTAAATTTGTCTTGCCATAATATTAGAATGGATTACAGTATAGCATTTAACATTGGTTGTTTATTTCAGTGGGCTTTAAGTACTAAGCATATATATTGTTGGAATTTTTTTCCACCTATAATACACTAGCTGTATTAAAAGACTGCAGTTATTGCTTGCTGTAGGAATTGTTCATGTTCTGCAACTGTGTGCATATATTTAATAACCATTTTTCCTGATTAAATAGTATATGGTCATTGGCAGTTATTTTCAGTGTGTAGCATACAACTGTTTTAACAAAGAAAAGAAAGATGGTTCTTAGAGTGCTTTATTGAATACTCTTAACTTTCTTAATATTTATGGTTAACTAGGCCCCCCCCCCCCCCCCCCGTCGTTGAAAAATAGTTAAAAGAACAAACACATCATTTAAGCAAGTTGTACTGTGAGAACTTTCTGCCTGGCTTCTGGTTTATAGTACTTAAGGTATAATGGAAGCCTATTTAAGATTTAAATTCATAATATGATTTGGTTACCAGTAAAAGGTAGAAAAGGATAATCTAGCATTTATTCATTAAAGACTTATTTAGCCTGGTTTCTAATGCACAGTTCAGTGAAAATATTTTGTACCAGCTTTTGAGAAATAAGTTGCTCAAAAGTGGTAAATATTAATATGATCTTTTATTTTTGGTATTATAGAAAAAACTGAAGAATTGAAAGTTCATTTTATGCTTTGTAGTTTAAGTTTGCTGACAGTTATTGATTTACCTTTTTAAAGTCTAGTCTCAAAATTGTTTTGGGAAGTTAAAACAGTAGTGACAGCTTTGTAACTAGGAGTTAAAAAGGAATTAAGAGGACTACTACTTAACCTTGAATGATTCCATGAAGAAATTTATGCAGGTTTAGGTTATAAAAATTAAAGGGTAGGCAACAAAGAGATTAGGTATTTAGGACACCTTGAATAATAAAAAGCAAGCCTTTTAAAATATGCTCATGTCTTTTGAAAAGTATTCTGTTACATCTTAATGCTTTGTTAACAGACTAAAAGGAAAATTGCATTTTTTTTCCAATAAGTTGCTATGCCAGAAATGGGATATAAAATTTAAGATGTTACTGAGTTACCTTGTTTACATTAATTCCTAAGATGTGGTAATTTTCAGTGCTCTTGAATAATTTTCAGTTATTAAGTTTATGATGGAAGACATCATAAACACATATATTTGGACCATAACATTTTTATTCTGTACTAGGAAGCTTCACATAAATAAACATTTAAGAATAAATTTGGGGTTTTAATATAAGATTTTTATTTCTATCCTAGTAAAACTAAAGATTTTACAGTGTCACAGCACAAAGCTTTCTGTTATGTGTGTATAACAAGGGCTGTGGTGATGTTTATAGATTTATTCCATCTACTGCTATTCAACAGTAGCTTAAATGAATGTTGTACCAGAAGGTCTGTTTTATAGAAGAGAAAGCCAAGAGAGAAGAGAAGATAGTCATATCAGCTTGGTTAATGAACCAGCCTGTGAGACTTCAAATACAAGCAAATTAGCCATACTAAATAGTAAATATGCCAGTTTTACAGTTGCGGTGAATGAAAAGGCCTAAATTGCTGTGCCTACTCCAGGCATCTGTTCAGGAATTTAGAGAGCGTGAGTTGTGGTGAAGGACTTTATTGTGTGTAGCTAAATGAGAAATGTTAATATTAAACAGGAGGTAGCTATATGTTTGTTTTAGTTTCATCTGAAAAAATAAATAAGCATTACGTAAAATTCTTAATAAATATGTCTTTCGACATTAAACTTGAAGTAAAGGAAAAGTTTTAAGGAAATTGCATGGTAGTCTTATGGAGTAAATGAAAATAGTGTGAAATTGGAATAATTATTTACACTAATACTCAAGGGGCTTAAGTGGACAGGGAAACCAAACTGTCCATCCTACTTTAGTCATAAGTGCCTCATATATCTGTCAAATTAAAAAGAGGGGGGAGTTTTAATCATTTTTAAAGCATTTGACTGGAAAGTTTTGATTCATATTCAACTTTTTCAGAAGCCAGTTTTCTGGTATAGGATATAGACACTGAAAGGAGTACAAATATGCATAACTGCATAAAATATGTAAAAACTATGAACAAAAAGGTGGGATCAAAAAATAAAGACCATGTTATAATTTTGTAATACCTCCTTGTACATATGATACTTAATGGATAATACAGAGTTTTGAAATGACACAGTTGCAAAAGTATATATACTAGAACTTCACAAGCCAAGGGGGAAATTTTAAGAATTTCATTCTTTTCCCCTTACTTTTCTCAGTATGCTTGTTTTACTTAAGAACATACCTTTCTGGTTAAGTTAGAGTAAGCAAAGATAGTGGTTAAAGTTGGGATGTTAATAATTTTACTCTTTTTTCTGCTTTGAACCTCAGCATTTGTCCTATAATGTTTGAATTTAGATGGGTATGTACAAATATTTCAGTGTAGGATGCTTTGCTTTAACTATATTTTGATAGCATGGCTTAGTGGAAGCTTATTTTAAGATTACTAAGAATCTTCAGGTTATAAATTAGTGAAAATGTAAAGCACAGGTGGGTGGATTACAGTTACTGTTAGATTTATGTTTGAATTAAGTATTTATATTAAAATTGTTCCCATTTTAGGAACTAGGATGAAACATGAAAGGGGAGGAGGGTGAAGAGTATGGTAAAAACATTTAGAGAAATTCAGTATATTCTCTTTAATTTTTAGAAACTAGACTTTTGAACAATTTTAAAGATTATAAAATTGTTTTTTTTAATAAACTAGTTATTTGCACTTTACCTGCTGGCTTTTCCATTTGGTAGATAACATTCTGAACTCCAGCAGAGTTTTATAATCCCCACGTGCTTAAATATACTAAATGTTCTTTTTCCATTAAGGTTAATGTTCGTGAAGAAATTGAAGAGTTTTTTCCAAGAATGTGGAAGATAAATCAAGATAAAAGAAGGCTAATGAAAAGTATTAAAGATCAGAAAATTAAAATTGAATGGGGGAAAAAATTGAACAGAAGATTGGTCAGATAGAAGCACTTGAATATTTTTTTAAGGCTATTTTGAATTGTTTGAATTGGGGAAGAATACACGAAGTATGAAAAATGAAAAACTCAATGAAGAATGAAGAGAAGTAGAAAGCAAGAGTGAAGTAGAATTAAAAGAATCTGGAAGAATGAATGGGTCCTAGGTTAAGTAAATGTATGGTTTATGTTCCAGTGTCTGTATGATCAAGTTGTAGATGAATTTGCATGATTACTTAGTTAATAGAGAATTGGTGCTCTGGTTCAAGTAGGGAATTATTGAGGACAGTTAGCAGTATTAACAATGGGTTATTAATGAGCTGAAATTTTTTCTGGAGGGTGTTGCCTAACCATTTGTTTTTCAGGAGCAATCAATATAAATAATTACGGTACTTTAAATGTTAGGTGTTAGGCATCTACGTGACCAGTGCCATTTGTAATACTGTCTTCTTTGTTAGGAGTCTCGCTCTCAGTCAAAATCTCCAACGGGAACTCCTGCTCGTGTAAAATCGGAGAGCAGGTCAGGATCTCGTAGTCCATCAAGGGTTTCCAAACATTCTGAATCCCATTCTCGATCAAGATCAAAATCCAGGTATGTGTTGAAAATAATACTTAAAATGCTTTCCTTGGATTTTTCAGGGCAAAGTGGTTTTTGCTAAATCCCTCGTTTCTCCTGCATTTTGTATAGAAATTTCACCAAAGACTCTAAACTCAAAATTGTGGAGTTTAGAAATAAATAATACATTCTAGACAAAGACTTACATAAGGTAGAATCATCTCTAAGCCCAATTAATATGTCAGATACTAGCTATTAAAAGATTGTGTCAGTTGATTTAAATGTACTTAGCATTTGAGAATTATTGCTTGATCTTATTTCAACAATATTTGCTCAACATAAAGTTAATTTTCTCGACTGGAAACTTGGCATGTAATTTAAAGCAGAGAAAGTTGATATGTATATGTTGTACTTGGTTATCAGAATGATTTGAGAAGCTTTTTCAAGATTCACATTCCTACATCCTTTAGTTTGGTAGATTCTGACTTTAGTAGGTCCAGGGTAGAATGCTAGTTGGATGTAATTTAGGGTGGGGGGTATCCCTGAGTAATTCAGAGCCCCTGCCACTACCACCTCAACTGACAATCACAAAAACTTGCTAGCGAACCACTACAAGGTTCACTGTATCAAATGTCCCTGGTATACTGGAGTGGGAAAAGGGTTAAAAACAGCCTGGGGCAGTTAGTTTAATAAACTATTATAATTTCTTGATTAGAGACATAGTTTATGTTTTTGGCTAGAGTCTGCTTGCAGAGGAGCGTGAAACAGAAGAATCCGTTAAAAGACTACTTTTCTTGAGGTCCACAGCTATGTCTTTTTCTAGATTGTAACCAGGATCCAGCCTAGTGCTTGATTTGCTAACCACCCTGTTTAATTAAATCTGTATGTGAAGAATAGCACTGCATAGAATTTGAGTATAGAAACGGAAATGAACGTATTTTCATTTAAGGACCTTTGCTTTTACTAACTTCAGCCTAGGCTTCTCTTCCTTCAGATATTCTCTTATTACTTGATTCACTTCTCTGCCCATGTTTAACCCCAAAACATTAAATAGCATGGACTCTGTTTATTCCTTTAATTTGTTTCATAATACTTGTCACTGCCTATTTGGATAGTGAAAAGGTGGGTACTCACTCCTGAAAGGTTTCAAATTAATGTCTCAGTTTTCATTACTATTTAAAAGTAACCATTGGTATTTTAAATGACATTTTCTTATTTATTTATTTTTTTTAATCGAGGATGTAAATTAGTGCTAAAGAAAATGGGAAATATCCTGTTTGGGATTCTTGCACGAACACAAATTTTCTTTAAACCTACCCTATCCCACTCCCCACACCCAAATGATTAATTTCTTTTAGATAGTAAGCCACTCATTTTATTATTTTCGTTCCCACTCAGAAGCCTTTAATTGTTTGCCCCTTTCAATAAATCTCTACCCTCAGCTTGATAGTCAGGCTTTTACACAATGTTGTCTTAGTCCTTATCTAATTTTTACTCTCATTACTTCCTTTGTAAGTATTCTAATTCCTTGTAGATTGTACTGTTTTGCAATTCTCTGATTACATCTCTATCTTTTCGGGAAACCTTTGCTCTTGCTATTCCTAGGACACTGTTCCCCTTTCTACCTAGTGAAGTCTGTTAAGTCTCTCAGCTTTATTGTTAGCCTTCTTTGTTTTGAACAGTCTTCCCTTGTTTTATTCCCTATACTCATGTGCTTTCTTTAAACTTTCTGGCCCTTAGCATTTATAACATTCATTGAATGCCTTATAGAAGTTATTTTGTATGACCGTCATCACTACTCTCTGGGTGTTTAGTTAAGGATGGGTCATGTGAATAGTAAATAAGAAATTGTTGCATTAATGGGCAAAGAAAGATTATTGTCTGAGAGCAAGTAGAAATAATCAGATAGGAGATGAACTAGGACTTAGTGGAGAGATGGGTGAGATGCTATAGAAAGCTTGAAGAAATGAAAACCATTAGGTTAGATGGGCATTTTGGTTAATGAACTAATTTAGTAGTTGCTAGATTGCAGCAAGCTAAAGAAAGATTGGAAAGGAAATGATATTTAACAGTGAAGGGAATATAGAACTATATCGAGAGAGTGATAAGTGGATTAGTCAAAGGGTTTTATTGTGGTAGTGATAGTTGGTGGTTTCTTTTGTCGGTTTTGTGATAAAATACACATAAGATTTACAATCTTAACCATTACAGTTCATTGGTATTACGTACATTCACATGTTGTGCAATCATCACCATCTATCTTAACTCTTTTCATATCTTGTAAAACCGAAAATCTACCAATTAAACAATGACTCCCCATGTTCCCCTTCTCTCAGCCCCTGGCAACCATCATTTTACTTTCTGTCTTAATGATTTTGATTACTAAATACCTCATATAAGTGGAATCTTACAGTATTTGTTTTCTCGTGACTATTTTCACCTAGCATAATGTCCTCAAGTTTCATCCATGTTGAATATTGCAGAATTTCCTTCCTAGTGGTAGTTTTTTTCTTTTTAAAGAAAGTAGAGCTTTAACATGCTTGTAAGGTAGAGTGAAAAGAATGTAGAAGGGACAGACTGAGAATAAAAGGCATATTGTAGTGATTAAGAGGACAAAAGGAAGAATATTCCTCTTTTCTTTTTTCTCAGAAAAGAGAAAGGAGCTGAGAATAAACATATGTGTAGGTCCTTGGCATTAGCCATTTATTTTCAGTATTTTTACCTAAATTTATTTCTCTCAAAGGTCGAGGTCAAGGAGGCATTCTCATAGACGTTACACTCGATCCAGATCCCATTCTCACTCTCACAGGAGACGATCTCGAAGTAGGTCATATACACCAGAATACCGGCGTCGAAGGAGCCGAAGTCATTCTCCAATGTCTAACCGGAGAAGACATACAGGCAGCAGGGTAAGTGGTTTTTAAAAGTTAATGAAAACTTAGTAGCTAATAGATGGTCACAAGGATGGGGAGTAGCCCAGCATAGGGACTGCAGACAGCAGTAAGGTAATGACTATGTAGAGCCAGAGGGAATATAGAGTAATTAGGGGGGAATCGTTGCATAAACTATATATAAACATCTTCCCAATGTACTGTATAACTGAAACTAATAAAAAAAAATCGAAGGCTAAAAAACTGAAAAAAAGTTAATAGAAAGTCTTTCATGTGTGTTTAGTCATAGCATAATATCTTGCTTTTATGAGAGCTAGACTGTTGTTTAAAAGTGGTATACCAGAAACATCCTTGAGTGTATAAATATTGAAGTACATTTTCTTTTCATGATTTTAGAGTAGTTAGATGAAATTTGGGAAGAAAGGCTATGTTCCAAGAATTAAAATGGAAAGCATAAACCAAATTGAGATGTTGAGATAAAAAGTTTTATGGTAGGTGGGGAGTGGGCAGCAAGGAAATACCAAAAACTAGTAATAACTAGCACTTGTGGTGTTTAGCACTGTGCAGAGTTCTTTAATATATTTAATATATCTCTGTGAGGCAAGTTACTGTGTTATAGATAAGGAAATGGGGTCTTGGATATATGACATTGAGGTTTGTTTTTTGGCTAACCAACAAAGCCCAGATTTCAACCCGACTCTTGATGTTCTTGTACTTAACTGCTGTGCTGTGCTTCTGTCATGTGATACTGTGTCATTTAACTGTGGTGGAGTCTGCTAAAGAATGAAAATGGGGAGGGAGGAAAGTCAAATCAGCAATCACAGATGAGGTCAGATTAAGTACAAATCTGTAAGAGATGTAAAGCATTTTAATAAACTGGCAATATGGCATTAAACTTAAGGATGAATTCTTAGGATACGTTGTGAAAATTGCTGGACTAGAGAATAGAGTTGTTTTTATTCAGGTTGTATATTTCAGGAAAGGCCTAAGTGTGTTGTGAACTGTAGGACGTGGCTCATCTGGTTTTTTTCCTCTTCAGTTATTTCCAAGTCACTTGAAACCATATAATCTTTGTATTGGATGACGTGTTGTATGAAAAGTATTTGTTTTAATTTTTACTTTAATTTGGAGCTTAAAATTAAATGATGTCTTTATGCAACAGGCGAATCCAGATCCCAACACTTGTCTTGGAGTGTTCGGCCTCAGTTTGTACACAACAGAGAGAGATCTTCGTGAAGTGTTTTCTCGATATGGACCACTGAGTGGTGTCAATGTGGTTTATGATCAGCGAACTGGACGATCAAGAGGATTTGCTTTTGTTTATTTTGAGAGAATAGATGACTCAAAGGAGGTAATTTTGTTTTTATAATTATGTGTCAATTTGAAAATGTTCTGGTATGCATGATTATAGTATTGAGTTACTGTTAAAAGTTGATTAAGACTTCAATTCCATAAATATTATGTCCTCTTTCGTTACTGACCTGATTCAAACTCTGCCTTTCAGTTTTACAGTTGGAATGGTCAGTTTTACTTTCCAGCTAATACTTCCTGCTATAGGCATACCCTGATTGAAATCTGGCCTTATAAAGTGAGATGTATGTGTTTGAGTTAATAGAAAAAGTGAACTATGTGCTCTCTTTTGAATAAGCCTTGTTCATGTTCCAAGCAGATGATTAAATTGACTTTTCAGAATTGTGACTTTTAGATTTATTCTGTTTAATTTTGTGCTTAATTAGTTCCCCATGTATAGATAAAGAGCTTCGTTTTCCTATTCTCAATACTCAGCTATCATTCTTTTCTACAATTGAAAAATAATACATGAGAAAAATTGGCACTTTTTGATTTTTGTTTAGTGCCATCCTTAATTTGCCTAACAGAATGATCTTAATCAATGTCAATGATTTGAAATAGTGCTGCTCTGATGTTTTAGACATTGGATTGTAAAGGAAGCAGTAGGATTGCTTTCTCTTTAAGTTTATAGAAATTGAGTTAGAAAACTCCATTTTAAGGAAATTGAAGCTCATTGTTAAGGTTTTGTCAAACCTTAATAAATGGCAAGTACTGACATTTTTGTGCCATTTTACATGTGACAATAGTTGGGTATAGGTCATTATTGCTTTATGCATCAACAGTGCTTGATTGCAACACAGGCAATCATAGAGAATGTTATGTTATCTTTAGAAAGTAATAGAGGCTATTGGCATCTAGTGAATATAGGCCAAAGATGATACTAAACATCTTACAATGCATAGATAGCCACCCACAACATAAAATTAGCAGTCTCAAAATGTCTGTAGTGCTGAGGTTGAAATGCTTTGGGTTATAAGTCATTTATGTAATAGACATTCTAATAGGCACTCTCATGTTTTGTCAGTATTACGTTTTTGTTTTCTTTTTTACTGTTATATATGGTAGTCTCCTTTTATCCATGGGGGATATATTCCAAGACCCCCAGTTGGTGCCCAGAAGCACTTTCTACAGTCTTTGGCATATCTGAATTGCCAGCATCACTATTGTGCTTCGGGATTGTTATTAAGTAAAATAAGGGTTACTTGAACATAAGCACTGTGATATTGCTATAGTTGATGTGATGACCAAGATGGCTAGTAAGTGACTAATGGATGCGGGGTAGCTCATACAGCGTAGATACACTGGACAGAAGGATGATTCACATCCTGGGAGGGACGGCACACAATTTAAAACTTAGGAATTATTTCTAGAATTTTCCATGTAATATTTTTGTCCCATGGTTGACTGTGGGTAACTAAAACTGCAGTTAAGGGAGACTACTGTATTTGTGCTTTGTTTATTCCTGTTCTCAAGAGATCAAGTTTGAATTTAGAAATAACTGGGGATGTCCGAAAAACTTCTTGTAAATTTGTTACACTCGTTGAGTTATTGTTGCATTTATTGATACTAGTGTCAAAAGGCAAAGATGGGAATGCGAATGGAAGAGGTATAGAGAATAGGAGCACTTATTGACTGGTATAGAGGTTCCTTTATATTTAGAGTTCACTAGGTGGCAGTGTGTTACCTAAGGAATGGCTTGACTAGTTTAGATTTGTCACCTGAATTATTATTATGCAGGCTTCCCTGAGTTTAGTTCCCCTTCTCTATGGCTGTAGCTGCCCAAGTCTTTCAGCACAGGCCTGCTTAAGTGTCCATGTTTACCTTAGAAAACTCAATACTATTGTCATGCACATAGCAGGGATTAATATGTAAAATCCTATCCCTTGTTGTTTGAAAAATAAGTTTGTTTAGAGAATTTTAATTTTTGAAATTTCAAGCAGAAAATGTGTTATATTTGTCACATTTTTGGTAGCTGCTTCTTGATGAATTATGCTTGACTTATGCTTATTCTCTTTTAAAGGCTATGGAAAGGGCAAATGGAATGGAGCTGGATGGTAGAAGAATTCGTGTGGATTATTCTATCACCAAGAGAGCACACACACCTACACCAGGCATCTACATGGGCAGACCAACTCAGTAAGATTTCATGTTTCCTAAGCTAAACTATTATAGCCAGAAATCTACCAGAAATGTCTACGAAATTTTTATTAGTCCAAAGATAAAATGATTTTTTCCCTATAATTAAAATTGAAAGTTATTTAGTTTGTATGTATTCTTGGAAACACACACATTTGACCTTTGAACAACTTGGGAGTTAGGGACACTGACTTCCACATAGTCAAAACCATGTATAACTTTTGACTCCCCAAAAACTAGTTGTCCCTCAATATGTGCCAGGGTTTGGTTCTGGGACCCCGATGGATACCAGAATCCACAGATACTCAGGTGCCCTGTGTAAAATAGCATAGGTCAGTGCATACAGTTAGCCCTCTGCATCCTCAGACTCCCAACCCATAGATCAAAAACAGTACAGGTATTGAAAAAAAAAACTGTATACATGGACCTCACAGTTCAAACCCATGTTGCACAAGGACCAATTGCATATATATATTTATTTATCCTCCTATATACATGTACATATAAAATATGTATGCAGGGGGATAAAGTAAGACTATTAAAGTGCATTTCTGGCCTTTTCCTTGGTACTATACAAATAGGAAAATAATTAGATAATAGAAAAATATTGTGTGCTTTTAGGAAAGTGTTTCTATTATGTGGCTTTATAAGCCTCTTTGTATATAGAAGGGTATTACTGTTTTTTTAAAAAAAAAACCAGCTTTCATGTTGTGTAGAAGAACATAAATGGGGGCTATTATAGTGTTTTTGTTTGTTTTTTTTCATCAAAGACAGTATTTATTTCTTAAAAGTGAAAGAAGGAATATAGGGTTTCATCTAAAACCTTACTAGGGACAATGTAGGATCTGTCAAACTAAAGTGAAGGAAGTGTTCCTATGATTAGGAGTTGGGAACACAGCAAGAGAGGGGCTTAGAGTTTGAAATCACTGCTAGAGATTTAAGCACTAGACTTTGAAATTGTTTTAGTGCTGGACCTCAGTGTAAGGTAGTTAATTCTCTTTGCTGTTTAGGGTTGGTTACTTTATAGTTCTTGATGTTTTTAAGTTGCTTTGAATTAGTCATAAAGACACACATCTGGGCATTTTGGTATTGTTTCCCAGCACACTTCTTTTCACCTTGCTGAAAGGGTCCTGTTGATTTGGGTAATGCATTAATAGAAGAGCAATTTATAGTCCTCATTATTTATGTAATGAATAGAAAGCCAAAGCCAAACACCATGGGCATCAACCAGCTAAGGCATGGAGGTGTAATTGGCATGTAAGGGTTATCCTTTCTCCTTTGTCTTCCCTCCTTCATTTTATTTTATTTCACTTAAGTACCACTGTATTAAATGATACTGGAAATGATCATTCATGTTGATGTAAAATTTTAACATTTTTCTGTAGTAGTGGCGGTGGAGGAGGAGGTGGTGGAGGTGGTGGTGGAGGTGGAGGTGGCGGCAGACGTCGTGATTCTTACTATGATAGAGGATATGAGCGTGGTTATGACAGATATGAAGACTATGATTACCGGTACAGGTAAGTTTTAACTTGTGGTTTCTGTTCTAAAGTAGATAATAGTAGTAGTATTTGGTACTTTTAAATTATGTTTGATATGTATTAATAAAAACGTTAAAAGATTTTATATGATGCTTTCCTGAGGAAATGGGAAAACATTATTTTCTCAAAACTGAGAACCAGAGTTTAATTAACTGTATTTGCCAATATTTTGTTTTGTCACATACTTACTGTTGTTACAGAGAGAACTTAATAGTTATCATCTTGAGTCTTATTTTGAATGACAGAAAATTTTTTTTTTCACTTGCCTCAGTGGATTATGTGTATGTTAAATAATCTTTTATTTCCTACAGAAGAAGATCACCTTCTCCTTACTATAGTCGATATAGATCACGATCAAGGTCTCGTTCCTACAGCCCAAGTACGTACTCTTGTGCTTTTGTAGCATTAAAAACCTCATTTCTTAATTAATAGTTGATTTTAGAAAATTAGGGTATATGATGACTGTTAATGTTTGGAAAAATAACAGACAAGTCAAACTAATTGTCATTTTGACTTTTTTTTTCTCTCTCTTTCAGGACGCTATTGATAGAATGGTTGCAGTTGAGGACATCTTTTCTTTTTCTCTCTTTCTTTACGTTGTTTAATTCTGGATTTCCCTAAGCTTCTCATCCTTCCTACATCTTAAAAAATAATTAAAAAAAAAATCTTTGGTTTATTTAGCATCTACACTTTGTCACTTGTATTGCTGTTTTCCATCCCTTTTATTATACTCTTAAAGATATAATTGTCATTTTGAGTAGTTAAACATCTTGAACATCTTGAGTAAAAAAGAACCCCCAGTGTTATGCTTTTTTTTGTTGTTTTATTTTTTGTTTGTTTTATTTTACTTTTACAGAAAATTAACTCGGCTAATCAAATGAGGGGAAAAAAATAATCTTTTTAAAGCTTCTTTTGTGTTAGATATTGTATTAGATATTGTATTAGAAATCTGCATTTACGACGAACTCCTTTTTTAACTTTCTTTTGGGGAAAATAGTAACACTTGAAGTAGTTCAGTCGTCAAATTTGCCTGGGGTGGCATGGAGCAGTCACATAGTTGAGTGTAGAAAGTTTGAAGCTATGAAAGAAAACACTTGGTCATTTCTTTTGAAGAACGGCATTTTTGAACCCTAAAAATTACGTCATTTTTTAAAGATAGAAAGCTTGTGGACTCCTATAAAACATGTTGTATTTAAAATACATCTGTTAAAACTTAAAGTGTGGTTTTTGTATTGAATTTATTGAAGTTTTGAGTATTAATCAGTGAAGGACAACCTTTATTATTTATTACTTAGAGCAATTGTATACTTTGCTGTTAGAAATTTTGGTATTGAGACAATGGTTAAGCAGCAGGCTATTGTATACTATAGAGTTCTTAGAGGATACGTGTGGGGAAAAGTAGTCTCCTTTCAAATAAAAGTTAATTTCTTTGAAAATGGGACTCTCTTTATTGTGTTACAATGGGAAAATAAAACTGGATTGATTTGGTAACCAGTCCTTTTTTCTAACATTTTTGCTTCCACCTAAATGTATAATCTTATCTCTTAATCAGTCTTCTGAAACCTTTGTTTTACTCTCCCCTTTTTTCTTGGCCAACTTATAAATGTTGAGAGTATTCAGTATCATGCACCATGCTAAAGGAAAGATAAATGATATGGTTCACGTCTTCAAGAAGCCCACATTCTAGTAGGATAACACTAAACGACTGTAACGTAACGTAAGGGGACAGTGTTTTAGCAAAGAGATGGATGATGTTTCAGGTGACTTTTATGAAAAAGTATAGGACCATGAGCTTTGTTTTCTCCCTCAAAGCAGTGAAAATAAAATTAGATTATTATGATCTGTGAAATAGACTGATGGGATCTATGGGATTGAATTGCCTCAGACATCTTTATTGAAAAGCTGACTTCAAAATGTCTGTGTATGTGTGTGCTTTTTTCCCCCGTTAAAGGATATCTAAGCAGTCTCCTGTTGGTCCCTAGAGGGATTTTGTTCTTTAAGGCAGGTTATTAAAAGACAAATTCATTGCCCTAAAGAGGACATTAATCTGTGGACTGTGGGAATACTTTAAAGATCAAAGCAATGTATCAACAAAAAGTAACGTTAGCCACAGTCTGGAAGAGAATAGCCATAATGAAGCGACAGTAAATATAATCGAACATATAGATGTGTTTACATACGTGTTAATGGGGAAAAAGTAGGGAAGGAGAATGGAGTAAGTAAGGAAGGATACAAGTCTAAATATGGCAGTCTTGGAAGGCTTCCCCGGGGTGAAATTTGAGTAAAATCTGAAGGGAAGGAGGGAAAGGGAGCCTTGTAGATAAGAGGAAGAGCATGTTAGGTAAAAGGAACAACAAATGTAATGGCCTGGAATGTTGGGCAGAGATGATAACCAAGGGCTGGGCCCTGCTGGGGAGAGGGTGGGGTTGGGAGGTGTGGTTTAAAAATAGGCAAGTTCCTTTATAGAAAGGGGAACTGTCAGAAGTGGGTGCATGGGTGTAGTGTTACATATAAATGGATATATATTAGGCTTAAAGACTAGATGTGTTAGATTGCAACATAGAAAAAAGTTTGGGTATTTCTGGGCCTCTTACACTGTTAAAGAAAATCCTTAAGATTTTTTTTCAACTCATTCAAAGTAAAATCTTTTGGTTCTAACATAACAGTGGTTCCTACTTAATCTTTTTTGAGTCACGGAGCCCTTAAAAATCTGGTAAAAGAAAAAAACCTGCAATCTTAGGGAAAGTGCACATATAAACAGTCTATTGTTTGTAATGTAAAATAAAGGTTTATTTATTGAAACTAGCCGCACCTAATGCTTTTGGTGTATGAATTTACTTTTTCCCAGTAACTAATTTGATATTAAGTGGATCGAATGGTGCATTTTTTTATTATATGAAATATACATTAAAAGGTAAGATAAGAGATATACCATCACTGCGGAGTAATGAATATAGGAGATCAGGTCTAAGTACTCCAAGAAAGCAAACAAAAATGGAGTAACAGGTGTTGTCAATTTAAGCTCCCACCAGTAGTACGTGAAAGAGGTCTTTTCTTGAAGCAAAAGATTTTGAAATTTTACTAAAGGAAAATAAGCTGCTATACTGTACACCACAAAATTATTTCAAAATGAAATTAAGGTAACAGTTTTTCAATACTGGTGGAAAAAAACTAATGAAACCAGGAAAAAAGACAACATGATGTTAATTTAAGAAATGGATGCATACTGTGGCATCCTGTATTTAGCGATTGATTAATTCTGCCCTACACTGACTTGTGATTGACTCCCAAAAGGCTATCCAGTCGGGAAACCTTGCCTCGTGTTCGTAGGTTAAAAATAGCAGTTGCTTAACACTCAAACCAGTTATAAGTCCTCACAGGATGCTGTGATGTAAATCTAGGTATGTATCTCCCTGGTGGTAATTTAACCCAGGAATAGATTTTTGTGGCATAATTTATAAACTACTACAAATTTTTTTGTGTGTCTAAATTTGAGAGGGTACCCGTGCAGGGAATGTAACTGGCAACATACTGAGCTGGGTATAAAATTGAAAAAAATTGAGACTGTCAAAGATATGGCTTAAACTATCCTCTCAGAAGTGGGCATGGGTACATGAGTGATTGAGATTCCACAATTTTAGGGGAGAGGCTCTGATCGCTTTAACTTGGGAAAAATTAAAAGTACATATAGAAAGGAGATTGGGACATTAGCTTTTAATTTTTATAGCGTTTCAGTTGGAGAAGATGAAAATGTTGGATGGTGGTGATAGTTGCACAATGACTGTACTGACTGCGGCAGACCTGTGCACTTAAAATGGTAAATTTTATGTATAGTTTACCACATAAAAAGAGGACATACCAGCAAAAAACCAAACTCTCTAAAAGATCCACACATGTCTAACTTGGTACTGTTTCTCGCTGGTGTATCCTGCAGCTTGAAAGACAAAATGATTAGGTAACTGCTTTAACACTGGCATCACTGGTTCCTGGAACAGAGCCTGGTATGGAGTAAGTGTCCAATTGATATTTGTATAAATGAATGAATGAGGTTAGTAACATGGGGAAATGATTGGTAGGGCCCATTAAGAAATTCCCAGTCAGCTTTTTAAGCCACACTTCTCTTGCTCAGGCCCGCTTCCACTTCTGGAAGTGTACTTTGCTTTCTAATAAAACTTTTCTACTGTGAAAAAAAATTCCCAATCAGAAAGTTCCATCAAGTTAAACTAAAGAGCTGAAGTATAGATGGAATATGACAGGAGGAGTCTAGGCTGAAAATATTCCATCATGATGACCTAAAAAGGATTCAGAAACACTTAAATCTGTTGAGTAAAGGAAGAGAAATGGCAATTTAATGTAATTATAAAAGTATTTGTGCTCGAATCACCTTGTAAGTTCATTTACATGGAACAGATCCTTGATGTCAGGTAAGGAAAGCATTCTATTTGATATTTATAAACAGTGCAGAGAAGTCGAATGGAAAAAACTTTTTTAAACATAACGTGAATTTTATTTTCAAGTACTGTACATTAAAAATTATTTTCACCGACTTTGTAAAGGCATACATGTATTTGTAATTGAACTTTTAATACAATTTAAATTTTTATAATTTGTATGCTCTGGCTTCAAAATTATTTAGGGTTTATACTTTTTTAAATGCCATGAATTGAATAAGTGCAAAACAAATGAAAAACTAAAAACATTTGTTATCTGGTATACATGGATCCTGAATCCATTTATACATTACTGAATGGCAAGACCTAGTACTATATAAACGTTCCAATCCTTACTCCAAATTTATATACACATATAATGGAGTTCCAATTAGAATGCTCTGCTACATCCCTCAAGGTGTCTTTAATTCCAGTAAACTGTCAGACCTAGAAAATTATGTTAATCGTTTGGCATCATAATTACAAAATATAGGACAGAAAGCAACATGTAGTAAGGCAGCACCAGACGCACCATAGAAGTCCTGGGAGCAGTCCACATGGCAGTGCTAAGGTTCAAGATGGCGAAATCCATATTGTGCAAGAGCAGGAGCCACCTGGCTTTAAAAGTTATGCATCAGTACCCAATATCTCTTGTAACAATCCTGCGGGCATAGCTTCCAAAGTTCCTGGAAGACATGCCTAGTTATGTCACTGCACTAGGAAGCTTCAAAATATGGTGCCCCAATTTCTTCCAATCCAGATGCAATTCACCAGTCATTTTTACCATAAGCTAATGTGACAGAGTTGACATTATCATCAGGGTGCCAGAGAAACAACTAGAAATGTAAAGTCATATTCTCATGCAGAAGAGAGGTTTTGTTAACCACTTATAATAATCCCTACAAGATGGGGGTTGGGAGAAGTGGATGAAATTTTTCCAAAGATATGGAAGAACGTACATAGGAATGAATAAACAGGAATAAAGTTCAGAATATATCCAAGTACATAAGAAAATTTATATGATAAAGATTTCATTTTGGTAGGAAAAAGGTCAAAAGATACAATTGACCGTTTGGAAGAAAAATTTAGATCCTTGCCTCATACTGCATTAAATAAAGGTAGATTAAATAGCTAAATGTAAAAAAGAAAGCTATAAATTACCATTTGACAACCAAGATAGCAATAATTAAGCAAGATTCTGATGGATGCTGAAACAAGTGGATAAAAGTTTGAGGAATACCAAAAAACACATACTCTGAAAATCTCTCCATGCAAGATACTTGCTCATTACAAAGGGAAAATGTAATTTTACAATGGAGAAATCTGGCCACTCAACTAAGTGATCAAAGTTAACATCACCAGTAATGGGGATAATGAACATCACATGCTTCTCGATATGCTGCACTAAGGACAATGTCACTTTTGTGGCATTCAACACAAAACAATATAACGACTCAAATCATGGGAAAAGCCAATTAACCCCAATTGAGAGGCATTCTATAAAGTAACTTACCTGTATGCTTCAAAAATATCAGTGTGATGAAAGATTGAGGAATATTCCAGATTAAAGGTGACTGAAAAGACATGATAACTAAATGCAAACTATGAGCTGGGATTGTCATTCTTTTCAAAATGAGTTCGAAATGGTTCCTTTTCAATCAAAAGGAATCATAGCATTTATTAATCAGTCTTCTAGCCCTTTAAAAATCAGCTTTATTGTGGTATAGTTTACATAAAATTAAATTCATTTTTAAGTGTACAATACAATTTTTGATTAAATGTATACAGCTGGGGTTTACATTTTTAATCTACTTCAAGTTAACAAAGAGTAGAAACCTTTTCATATCAGCAGTTATTCTTAGTACTTTTTTAGTACTTATCATATTAGTGAGTTAATTATTCACTTTCCAGATGGAATTGGTGTGAAAAAGAATGTTAAATTCGATTTTAGGTAAAAGTTAACTGAAGTCCTTGGTAAATTAAGGGTTACTCTCCTTTTAAGTGACAGAAATGTGTCAAGAGAAAACAATGCTAACCAAAATTTTCTTTAGTGAAACAATT